GAAGTTTTCAGTAAATTGGATTAAGTTGATCTCAAGTCTTAAACCTGGTCACTGGCGAGGGGAGATGTATTCTGCTGAATTTTAGCATGGCTTTAGAATCCAAAACATTGAAAGACTTAAAATTTTGAAACTGAAAAAGAGTGAATAATTAATGTAAACTAAAAAAAGAAAAGAGATTGCGGCACTAGTCAGGCTGAGAAGACAGACCCAGGTAAAGCGAGCTGCCAAGTTTCCGGGAGACATTGCTTCTTCCTGCCAAGGTTATGCAGCGACTAGAAAATGCTTCACTAACCCTGCCCATTCTGGGTGCGTGTGGAGTTCTTAGCAATGATGCCTCAGCCCCTTGGCATGCCACTTATTATTGGTGACATGCAATTGCCATTTCTGTGGTCACTTTTGCCTACTTGACCTGCCCAAGCCCTGTTAATTCCCTTCTTTTCTAATTCCACCTCAGAACAATAACCAACCCAAAACTGGTTCCTGCTCCCTTAGACAACTTCAAAATCCCTCAGTAGAGCCCGCCTAGAACATTTGCCTGCCCCTTCGCTCTCGCACAGTAAATCTGATTTTGTCAGTCTTGATTCTAGCATGCAATCTTTGGCTGATTAGCTTTTAACAACTCGTTGAATGGTGAAAGTTTCTGGGTGTCAGGATGCACCTCCAAGGCTGAGATTCTTCAGGAAAGAGTCTCCCTCTCCGTGCCAATGGCACAGGAAGTAGCTGGCACTGCCTATGGCAGGGCTTAGCGGCTTCCACTCAGCAACTCACTCCAATCCCTCATTCTGCAGAGAAGGGTGGGTCAGAGTAAGAAGACGGGGAGAATGCTTTTTAAAAAGGTTATGAGTAAAGTTTATGTAGGTGCAGCTCAATTTAAGTAAAGAGGATTAGCAAGTCCCAGGAGAGTGAGGAGGTGGAACTGGAGAGAAGAGTCTTGGTGAGACCAAATAACCTATGTTAAATGACCAGCGCTGCAAAACTAAAAATGAAAAAGAGAGCAGAGAAGTAAAGTGGGTCTAGAAAGATAACGCAAAGTCTCATGTTGGTAAAATCCAAAGATACAACAGTATTACAGTGAGGACAGGGCTGGCAACATGGCCCAGTGGTATGGTGCTTGAAGGCCCCCAAAATAAAGAAGTAAACACTAAAAATAGTTTGATTTTAATGGTTCCAACATTTCTGCATGAAGGATAGCAATAAAGTGAAATTTTTGCTGAGAAATTTCATTATACGAAACTATCCCCAGCCCCAAGAGAATGTCATAGGGCTGACTCCAGGGCTGATGTAGGGAAGCGCACACAGGGCTGTTGTATGGCCTTTCTGCCATCAGGCACAACGAAGAGTAATTAGGTCACCAAGGAAAGGGTTGTGTAGCAAGAACACAAGGAAAGGGCAGAATCCTGAGAAGCAACTTAAGTGTAGTTAAGGATCAGGAAAAGAAATGATTCTCAGGGCCAATGAGATAGCTCACCCAACTAAGCACCTGTTTTGGCAAGCATAGGGACCAGCGTTCGATCCCCAGTCCCGCATGCTGTGCTGGCCCCACCCCTGGGGTGACTGAGCCAGTGAATGAGTCTGGGCATGGTGGGGCAAACCTGTAATCCCAGTGCAGAGATGGCTGAAAACAGGAGGATCACTAAAGGTTAGAGCTGTGTAGTAAGACCCTGTACCAAATACATAAATGAAGAAAGAAAAACAAAGAACCAGCCAAATAGCTCAGCGGATTAAGGTGCCTAAAAGCTTAGGCATATGTAGGGGCTAGGGGCTCATCCCAATCTTGCTGTGCTGGCCCTGCCCCCAGGACATGCTGAGAGGGTGATTAAGACTGGACATGGTGGCTGTGCCTGTAATCCCAGCACTTGGAAGGCTGAAAAACAGGAAGGATCATTATGAATCTGATCTGCATAGTGAGACCCCGTAGACCTTGTACTAAAAAGAAGAAGGAGGAGGAAGAGGAGAAGAAGAAAAGAAGAGGAAGAAGAAGGAGAAGGAGAAGGAAGAAGGAAGAAGGAGGAGGAGGAGGGAGGAGGGAGGAAGAGGAGGAGGAGGA